GGTTGGGCAGGGTCCGGATTGGATCTCGAAGCCCTCGGAAGGGCTTGTGTTTCTTGAGTAGTGCATTGAGTGTTTTAAGCAGAAGCTGTCCCCGCAGGACCAGGCGTTGTCTGTGCCCCCAAGAACTTCTACTGGCTGAGGAGCGAGGTGGTGCACAGCTGTGAGCAGGTGCTTGTCTGAGTGAGAAGGCGGCCCACATGTGATCCCAGAGAGGACACGGAGCCTGCGAAAGCCAGAGAGGCAGGAGGGAAGAGGAGGGGGTGGGGAGGCCAGCAGGAGTGTGGGCCTCAGTTGGGAGGAGCGGGCCATGCAGCCTGGAGGATGAGCAACCCACACGGCCGTGCAGTTGCCACACTAGAGCTAGGGGAGATTGTGGAGGCCCTCGGGAATTATCCAAGGGAGGAGAGGATGGAAGCCAGGTGGAGAGAGCCAAGAGGTAAGGAAGTGAGACAGAGCGAGACGGGACTTTAGAAAATTGTATCCTGGCTGGGCACAGTGGCTCATGCCTATAATCCCAGCACTTTGGGAGGCCAAGGTGGGAAAATTGCTTGAGCCCAGGAGTTTGAGACCAGCTATGGGCAACATCGCGAGACGTCGTTTCTACAAAATATACAAATATTAGCCGGGTAAGGAGGTGTGCACTTGTAGTCCCAGGTACTCGAGAGACTGAGGTGGAAGGATAGCCTGAGCTCAGGCGGTCGAGGCTGCAGTGAGCCAAGATCGTGCCACTGCACTCCAGCCTGGGCAACTGAATGAGACTCCCACGCAAAAAAAGAAAAAAAGAAAAGGAAAATAAAACTGTATCATAGTTACAGGTGGTGCGTGAGTCTATGTCCCAACCGGAGGGCTGGGCTGAGCGCTGCTCCTTCTGGGCGACTCCCAGCATCTGCCCAGGGCTGGGCACACAGTGTGCACTCGTGGCCACTGCCATGCAAGAACTCAGCACTGTACATCCCTTTCCACCTGTGGTGTCTGCTCTCGATGTACAGAGTCCTGGGCCAAGGGAGTCATCCTGCTGCCCACCGCACTGGGCAGGACTGGGCTGGCATGTGACCTGTTATTCCTCCTCGCTGGCCCTGCTGCCCTGAAAATGTGGCCTCAGTGGGACCAGGCAGGAGGAGGACACCACCTTTTCCTTGGCCTGTCAGGTAGTTGCTGGGGTGCTGAGGGGATGAAAGGTTTGAGTACCAGGGGCTAGGAGGGACATCCACCAAGAGAAGGGGGAAGGAATTTGTCCTCCTGTGAGCCAAGCGGGGGAGCAGGACTAGCCCTTGCACCTCGTGACCTGGGAGGAAAGTGGCACAAGATTGATCCAATGCCACTGTCACTGGCCCCTTTCTTGCAGAGGGTTTCCTGCAGAATGGGCTCTGCCTGGGGCTTTGCTGAGTGACCCCCCTCTGGGCCCTGTCCCCTTCCTCATGAACCTATGACCTGGCACCATGACCCTCTCCCACCTTCTGGCTCTGGGGACCTCCCACATCCCCTCTGGGAACCTCTGAACCTCCCTCGCCTGCCCATGGACCTGCCTGCTTGGCCTCTTAAGCTAGACAGAAGGGCAGCCTGCCTGGGGCGAGGGAGCCAGCAGCCTGCCTTGTGTTTCCTGTAGTTTCCACCCTCGCTTCTTCCTTTTAGGGCAATGTTGGAAAGGATCTTAGGAATGCTGTGTTGTTCTGGGGATGAGGAAGCTGGGACAGCAACTCAAAAATAGAAATAGGCCCTGGGAGGGAGCAGAGGAGAAAGTTCAGGAGTTTGTCATTGAGGCAACCCAACTTCTAAATCTTACCAAAGTGCTTAGACCCAGAAGGGAGAGGGTAGAGGACAACTCCCCTCACCCACCCTGGCATTTTCATGCGTCTCCTATTTAATGAGCCCTTACTATACACCAGATATGTTCCTCACAGCAACTTCATGCAGTAGGGACTGCCCTTTTCAGGTTACAGTTGAACAAAGTAAGGCCCAGAGAGGGTAAGTGACTTACACACAGTTGCACCGCAAAGTAGAGGCACAGGAAGGACTAGAACCCAGGACTTCTGACCCCAGCTCCTTCTGCTTCCTTCATATCATCAGAGCCAGGCAACTCTCATCTGAGAGCAAAGAGGGTAGAAAGTCGGGATGTCAACACCCTGTGCTCTCAAGACTGTGTTGGGGCTCACCCCCTCAATGGGACAGGTGGTCTCACACCCCACCCTGGGTTAAGCAGACTGTAAGGGGAACATGGTCCACATGCCAGTCTACACACTCATGCTAACAACCTACCAGGCACCAGCCTCAACAGTTCTGTTCACCACTGACGGCCAAGTGCTATTCTAGATGCTGGCCCCGGCTTCAGGGGCTTGCAGATGAAGGGAGAGACACAAATGGCCAGCTGGAAAGCCCTAACATGTGTGCTGTGATGAGGTCCCAGGCACAGCAAGAGGCTTGAATGACCCAGACTTGAGAGGGGTGGTCAGAGGCTGCTGCTGGAGGAACCTCGCGCAGGTTACTTCATCTCTCTCAACATCAGTTTCCTCATCTGTAAAATGGGCCGGTTGCTGCCTCGCAAGGTTTTGTTGAGGCGGCACGCGGCACAGAGAAGTGAACACTCAATAAACTTCAGCTGCCCATCTCATTGGCTGGCCTAAGCAGAGTGTAGACCCCGCCAGGGTTCACACCATGCCTGCTTGTTCACTGCTGTATTCCCAGAGCCTGGACCAGAGCCTGGCACAAAGTAGGTGCCCAGGAAATATTCACGCAATGAGTTCATGAGAAAGGGCCCAGGAGAATTAGGAAAAGGCAGGACTGTTCCAGTTGTCCTGGGACTGGCCAAGGGCCCTTGTCCCTCCTGGCCTTTCTCTACCTACCCGAATTCAGGAAGTACCCCCAGTTCCCTGTGCCCATCACAGCCTGGGACCTCCACTCCAGTTGCCGGGATGCCTGTTTACTCACCCACATTTGGAACCCCCCACCTCACCACTTTCCCGAAGGACAGTTTTTTTTCCCCGGCTGTCCTTGAAGCTACTAAAATGTATGACAAAGGTGTAACCTTGGGATTTTCCTTTCTGTCCTCCCGCTCCCCCATGCCAACCTCAGCCACTTCCCTTGGGGAAAAATCCATCTCTTCCAGAAAGAGAGACAAGAGGTTGTAGTGAGTAAGGGTTGGTTCTCGGTGCCCTGTGTGAGGTCACAGTTAGAGATGTCCAAACTCCACACTGGAGCAGATTGTCCCCCGTGCATGAGTGTCCTTATGGAGAGAAGGGATGGACTTTCCGAAGTGCAGGCTGAGCTGGAATCGGGGGCCTGGGGCGGAACAGGGCATGTGTGCCGTGCAGCTGGTGGTGGTGAGGATGCATGAGAAGCAGAGGTCCAGGCTCCATAGGGCAATGCAGGGTTGGCTCCAGCTTTAAAAATATGCCTTTAGTCGAGGGTCATGTATTCCTTTATCCACCGTCATTCAGCAACTGGGTATGAGTGTCTCTTGCCTGGCCCAGGATAAGGGATAATGAGCGGCCCAGACCCACTCCCAGCCCTCCGCGAGGGGAGATTCAGTGCTGAGCAGGTGTCACTCTATGGCTTTAGGACAGAATATCAGGTGCTAATGGGAGTCTATGTACAGCTGTGGTCTTAGCCCAGAAAGCAGAGCCCTGAGGGCTAAGGCCACATTAAGGATTTTGATGGAGTTCATGTGCTATGGTGTTTTTCTTTAGTTAACTTTTTATAATTTATTCATACACATGGCAAAATGTCTAACAACGCACAATGTTACCAGCAGACTTATGATCCACCCACCCTTCTCTCTCCACCTGCCCATTCCCCTTCCTAGAGGCCACCATTGTTACCAGGCCTTGTGTGGCCCTCAGTCGCATTGGTGTCCAACATCTGGACTTTCCCCACTTTTTTTTTTCTGAATGGGATCATGCTACATCAGAGGTTCTCAACCTGGGATGATTTTGCTTTCCCACTTCCAGGATCAGGGGACATTTGACAATGTCTGGAGACTTTTTTTTTTTTTGAGTTGGAGTCTCTCCGTCACCCAGGCTGGAGTGCAGTGACATGCTCACAGCCACCCCAGCATCTACCTACTGGGCTTAGGTGATCCTTCTGCCTCAGCCTTCCAAGCAGCTAGAACTATAGGCATGCGCTACCGCGCCCAGCTAATTTTTTGATTTATTGTAGAGATAAGGACTCACCATGTTGCCCAGGCTGGTCTGGAACCCACGGGCTCAGGCAATCCTTTCACCTTGGCCTCCCAAAGTGCTGGGATTACAGGCTTGAGCCACCATGCCCGGAGAGACTTTTTTTTTTTTTAAGAGACAAAGTCTTGCTGTGTTGCCTAGGCTGGTCTTGAACTTCTGGGCTCAAGCAGTCCTCTGGCCTTGGCCTCCCAAAGTGCTGGAATTACAGGTGTGAGCCACTGTGCCCACCCTGGAGACATTTTTGATTGTCACAAATGAGCAGGGGCGGGGGCTGCTGGCATCCAGTGGGTAGAGGCTGAGGATTCTGTAATGCACAGGACAATCCCCCACAACAAAGAATGATCTGGTCCAAAATGTCAACAAGGCTGAGGCTGAGAAACCCTGTCCTGCACAAACACAGTGTGTCTGCGCCTTGGTTTTTTTCAAATGTATTTTGTGGCTTATTCACATTAGCAATAGATGCACCTCACTGTTCTTTGTGGCCACATAATAACTCACTGCGTGGATGCATCGCCATTTTTTGTTTGGGTGTTTGCAGCCTTTTGTGATGATAAAATTTATGCTGCAAGGAGTGAGTGTTCTTTTCCACATACATGCCTTTGGCATGTAAGGTCAAGGGAAGTGGAGGTGGATGGATGAATCCTTTGGTTCTCGAATTTTAAATAGCCTATCAAAGAGACCTCGGGTCTCTTTGGGGCGTGGTCTGTCTGGAAAGTAGGTTGGAGTCCTGGCTGCTAAGTGGGGCCAGATCCTCAAAAATTTGGTGGGGACATGTCCTCTATGTGCCTCGCCTACAGACAAGGGGTCCTGACCACCTGTCTCTCCACAGGATGAGGGTGTCCCCCACCTGAAGACGACGAGCCAGGTCCTGAGAGACGTCCCTGAGCTGAGTGCCTGAGGCTGGCCTCAGGTGCCTCCACCCATCTTTCCCCATGGAGAAGGGACTCGCCTTGCCGCAGGACTGCCGGGACTTTGTGCATGGCCTGAGGATGAGAAGCAAATATGCCCTTTTCTTGGCTTTCGTGGTGATAGTTTTTGTCTTCATTGAAAAGGAAAATAAAATCATATCGAGGTGAGGAGCACCTTCCCAAGGTGGGATGGGTAAAAGCTGAGAGGTAACCGTGGATCTGTGAGTACACTGCTTCAACAAGTCATCCCAGGCTCCTCTCATGTCCCAGGCAGCAGGTCATGCACATGTCCTCACGTCTGCACAGAGTTGAGACTTGGGCTCTGGACTCCGGCGGCCTGGGTTAGCGTCCTCCACGTTGGCCTTGTCCAACTGTGAGAGCTTAGGCACAGGACTTTACAGTTCCTGAGTCTATTGTTCCCACTCTGTACAACCTGGCTAGTGACGGGACCTGTAGGATTGTAAAGATTCCATGAGAAAATGTAAAAGCCTTTAGCCCAGTGCCTGGTACACAGTTGGTGTCCAGTATTTGCTGGCTGTGACTACCATTATTAATTTACTTCCTGGCCTAGAATGATGCCTTGCACCAGCAGCACATCCCTATACATGTCTCGATGTCAGTGAGGAGGGTAATGAGGAGGGTGAGCCCATGGAAAGGCAGGATCCTGGTATGGATATTCAGGTAGGCAGGACTGCCGTGTGCGGTTGCCCAGGTTGTATATTGCTCAACTCACAAAAGTGTCCCTCTACTCTAGGAATGCTCTCTCTCCTCGACCATGCCCTTGGGTTGGCAATGCTGTGTGCAGTGGGTCTGTTAGATATAGAAAGGTTTCTTAGACCAGTTCTCCTCCCAGGCACAAGTCCTGCAAGAAAACACCAGCCAAGAGTGGGTCAGGGACTGGGCTGTGTAGCAGACATTGTCAGTGTTCCACCTAAGGTGCTCAGCATGGACTGTTCTAGTTCATGCCTGTGGGGTCCTACGGCAGGCCCCTACAACTGAGAGTTTTCTCTCCACCTGCAGGCCGGCAAGTGAGAAGTACCAGGGAGTAAAAGTCCCCCAGAGTCCCCGTCAGACTGAGCCGCCCACACCCACGGGTAGCCTGCCCCATAGCAGCACACATCCATCGCGACTTCCTTTCCTCCCCTGGATTTCCTCCCCAAATCCTTGCTTCAAAGTCTGCTCTGGGGGACAGGCTTCGGGTGATCAGCCTGGAAGCCTGCCTAGAGTGGGTCGTGCAGGAGTCGGGGATCCCCGCTCAGCCGCTGATCCTGGTCTCCCTTGGTCCTCACAGGGTCTCGGACAAGCTGAAGCAGATCCCCCAGTCCCCGGCAGACGCCAACAGCACCGACCCCGCCCTGGTCTTGGCTGAGAACGCGTCCCTCCTGTCCCTGAGCCAGCTCGACCCCGCCTTCTCCCAGTTGCAGAGCCGCCTCCGCAACCTCAGCCTG